ATCCAGGTGACTCTCTAATGTCAACTTCTTCTCTTCCGGAGCTTCAACAGCAGAGTAACAAGTGAATTTGAGAACTTATCTGGCAGACTGGCTTCTGCACGCAACTGATCCGCGAAAGCCAGGTCCGGCCTATTCGCGCTTGTGGAGCGACGCCTCTTTGGGCCTCGCTGCCTGGACAGCCGGAGGTATGCATGCAGCTCTTCGCTTGGCTCTCTTTGTGTATCCCTCCAGCTGTTCCATGCTGTTCCCAATCCAGCAATGAACGTGTATCCGCTCGAGTCACGTACACGCACGCATGTTGATCAGAATCGGCAAGGACCGTCACAGGCAAGGACATGTTCTGCACCCTTCGTTGCGTGGTTGTGTCTTGACGAGCTCCGAAAGTGTGAAACACCTCATGCTTCTCCGATGGTACAATGCCACAGAAGACTGAATCGAAAGCAGCTCCCCTACAGATCAGCCTCGCAAAGAATTCACACGGCACGGCGGGAGCATGTCAATGGGGGAGACCTCCCGCCTGAGTGAGAGCACCCAGGTCTCCGGTGTACAGTCCAGGAAGTTAGCGAGTCATGATCAACTCTGGCTAACTATAGGAGTTGAAGCTTCGGCACGAAGGGCTCTCGTCGTGCTTCGCATTAGCCAGCTGGACCGAGTATTGGCCTACATGCTCTGAGTTTTACAGTGAATGCTGGCCCTTCTCTGGATGCAAACGTGTTGCCGCAGACTGGCCGTTTCGCGGTAGCTCAAGAAGCGTGGCACGGCACCAGCTCCACCTGAAGAAATCAGGAGTCAAGTGACCGAGCCCATCAAGGCGAGGTTCGCATGATTGTTTGTGCCACCTCCCAGCTCCTCGCTGTCTGCGTAGCACAGATCCAATACACCGCCAGCCGACACCACAGCTGCAGCAGGTGAAACTTCAGCACTCCGCAGCTGCGACCACAATGCCAAATGGCCGCCTGCATAAACCGTGCAGCTTGGCAGCAGGTCAGCAAGGGTGTAGCGCTTTGCCTGCAGAGTGGCCCACCACGGCAAAGGGGAGCCCATCCAAAGGGAGCCTGCAAGGGAGCATTAAGGCTGCACGCGTCTTCGAGTTTGAACCCATGGCCAGAGTATCCACAACCCTCAGGCTATTCTCTGCGTCTGCAGCCGGTCGGCTTCCCTGACTCCAGCAGCGCGAGACCCGCAGAGACATCACTCAAAGTGGAGTTGGCATCCTGGCATCTTGCACAGAAGACGGCTGAACTTTGCAGAGGCTCCATGATCAAATGTTGCTTCCGCTCCTTCCAAGTCGGACTCCCCACTCGTCGATATTCCAGGTTAAGCGCGGCATAGCCTCTTTGGACCACATCACGCGCAAGGTCGGTCATCAACTCTTTGCCTTGTTTCACTGCAAATCGAGTGCCAGGCAGTACTAGCTTGCCGGCTACAAAAAACGCAGCTGAAGCCAAACGAGGCGCCATACTGCACGAGCCAGAAACCGCCGTGCAGCAGCACGACTACACCTTTTGGTGATTGTCCGGCTGGCAACCAAAGGTCCGCGGTTTGTTCTGCCAGCCGTCCATACTTGAACGCCTCCAGGGCCAAGCGATGGCACATCTCCAGGAGGTCTGGTCTGGCAAAACCTTTCGAAGAAACGCTCTTAAACATACCTTCTAAGAGTCTCTCACGGTCTATGACAATTCTCCATGCAGAGCCCCAAGCCCGAGCCTGCATGGACAAAATAAGCTTCACGATCTGTCACAACAGCCAAAGGGGCTGCCCAGCCTGCGGCTTCTCGATGCCACTAGCAGCTTCTGGTATTGCTGCAAGCACTGCGGCCGCACGCAGACCATCCTCCGATGAGCTTAGCACGCGCACGGAGCCGGGGCACTGCATGCAAAAACCAATTCGAGAGGAATTTCAAAAACAGTGTGCACGCGATTTGGTGGGATCGTGCTGAGTGAACTTTCAGATACCAGTCATGCTCTAGTTTGCGCACAACCCATACACACCCAACGTTCTGGCGTCTGTACGGGCGCAGAGTTTACATCTGCAGCAACTTCATCCAAGTGTCGCGCCGAGCGCAGAAACCAGCAGGGCACAAACTGCGCCAGACAAGAACTGTTCCTGCCAAGACCATTGAAGGGAACATGTCTGTGCAGTTTCTGCTTAGCAGCTACTTTCATCTACATCTACTGAAAAGGTTGGTCATCTATCTCGTCACTTTTTCGAACCGCTGCTCTATCTCGCCACGACAGTGGGAGGCCAGCTTGAGCTGAGGTTCATCAACCGCTCATCCGCGCACGGAACTGCAGCCTTGCTTCGCGAAAGCACGAGAAGCTCTGATCGATACCGACTTGATGATGCACTGAGCCTTCTCGGAAGTCGCCAGGCCGGGCAACAGCTAGCTCAAGACTCGATGAGGCTCACTGTGCTCTCTCAAGCTGATCGCGGTCGCGTTGACATCCTTGAGCCAAGCCAGGGATGTGTCAAAGGCCTCACAAGCCATACGTCCCACAAACTCTCATGAGGCGGTCGGAAGGACGATCCGGTGTTCCGGCTCCTGCTCACCATCCGCGTATACATACTCTGCAACGTTGAACTCGGTTGGGAGCTCCATACGCAGAAGATACTCCTTCAAGGCCACCAGCTCCCTCGACTCGAAGACTTTTCCAGACTTCTCGTCGGAAAGCTCCCGACCCTCTTGAAGGAGCTTGCGGCAAATGTCCTGGTAGCGACCAGCGCGATAGGTGATCCTGGGACAGAGCCACCGGAGAAAGTCCTCCTCCGTCATATCAGTCTGGGTGGGTTTAAAGTTCTCCCAGTGGCTATACTCCTGCAATAGCATGCGGAGAGTTGCGACTCCCGGGACTTCGTCGCTCCGCAAACGCTCGCAGTCGTCGGCACTTTGCACGGGCGCTTGCAGTCGCTTCTGCAGCAAGCGCAGCAGGGCAGTGTCACTCTGCGGAGCACCTCGGAAAGAGATCCCCAGTATCCTACAGATCAGTCGGCGCTCCTTGGGAGCCAGTGGGGCGAGCAAGTCTTCGCGCTTTGGAATCTGTTGGCCTAACCTTTCTGCGTAGGCATAGAGGAGGCCAGTGAAAACAGAATCGAAGTGGTCGAGGCTCTCAGAAGACTCCAAGGCATGCTTCACTTCTTTCTCAAGACTTGCTCGCCTTGACAGTGCGCTTTTGGAACTTTCGAAGATGCACTGCCAAATCCTGGGTGCTGCATTTATCAAAGAGACCGAGGACTTCCGCAGCGTTTCAACCCAGGGCCTTATCTCCAACTGCGCGTCCTCGGATTCCTTGGACATGGAGCTCATGCGAAGAAAGCGGGTGGTTTCTTGCCACAGGTCGACAGCTGCTGGTAGGCCCAAGTACTGTCGCAACACAAAGGGCAGCTGCACTTGGGCGAAGAGCTCGGCACTATTATGCAGACAAAGGAGGAGGCGGCAAATAAGGCAATGCCACTCCGATGTTTCGAAACGGTGTCCGGCCTGCGCAAAAAGAGAGCGTATGCTGAGCTCTCGCTCCACACCATCAAGGCTGGCCACACTCTGCCAGTTTGGCGGGGGCCGTTCAAAAAGCTTTCTGGCTTTCCGAAAACACAGATATTTGGGCCAGCTTGCTTCTAAGATCTCCAAGTGTCTCGCCTCATCCGGCCAGTCACCGGGCCGATACATACGTGGCTCGTCAGAGTCGGAAGAAGCTTCCTCGGATGACATCTCTGCTGCTGTTTTACCTGATCCCGGTTGTTTCTTCTTTGTCTTCTTGTTGGCGAGGATGTGCGACGACGAAGATGTTGCAGCTGCCGCACGGTAAAGAGCCCCTGATGGTCGAGCCCAGGCAGGCGTCCCAAGGCTAGTACAAGCATCCTCCTCATGGACGGGAAGCTGTGTGGCTGGTTGCCCGATACTCCAGCTGAGAAGCTCCCGAACCAGCCGCCGGTTCCAGGCTTCAGAGGCTTGCCAGAGGCGCAGAAATCGCCGCAAGATGGCCAGCTCTCCGATCCCGTTCAGAGTCGCCTCTTCATCTGCCTGCTCCAGATCCTTTGCCTCGAGCTCGACCGTCTCGGTCGCCGCCGCGGCCGCTTCGAAGTCAGCCGCCTCGGGGGCAGTCTCTGTGGCCTCAGCCTCCTCCTTTGTTTCACACTGGGGAAGCACCGACGGCAGGTCAGCAGCATCGAACAGGTCGAAGGGCTCGGGCACATGCAACGCGCGCTTGTGAGACCGATCTTCTTCCTGCCGCTTTCGGCGCTTCGGCATGGAGGCTGAGAAGCTTGCAGCCGAAACCTCCAAGAAGCCCTTCCTTGATTGTCCACGCTCTGCAACCAACACGGCCACGGCCCGACGTCGGACAAACAAGCAAGTCTGAAAGCAGCACTGGCCGCGCAGAAACTCCGTCTTATGGGTAGAGTACATCGTACCAGTTGTAGGTACTGCCGCCTCTGCAACTATGATCGCCTCTGACATGTGGAGCACCTTCCGTCGGATCTACTCGACTCTACACCCGTGCTCTCCCCGTGCCGGCCTAGAAGGCTCCAGCCGCATCGCAGGATCTTCGAAACCATGCAATCTCCAGCGCACTGCTTTTGAGGCTACAGCAGAAGACCTCGTTGCTACCCCCAAACACGGCTTAACAGGCTCCATATCATGCAGCTTGGCTGTGGTAACGTTTTTTGACATGTTCTGCCAAAGCTCAAGACTCAAGCCCAACTGGCGATCAGTTTCGGCAAACCACGAACTTTCGAAATATCCGTGCTGTCAGCTCCAACAGGCTTCCACACCTCGGACGGGGTGCTGCGTGCAAGACCTGGTACCTGAGAAAAGCCTGACACCTGGCATAAAGTAATCCCCAAGAGAGGCTTATTGACCCCACAACTTGTTTATTTTTTTTTTTGAACCCTCGTGTCTTTTCCACCTGTTAGGCTCGAGACTACCGTGACGGTTGAGGGAGTCGGGGAGACAGACCGAAGCATTGGGGATTCTCCACAACTTGGCTCACCAAAGATTTTCGGCGTCATCGGTGCGCTGTCTCGGCTAGCTCGGCAACTGCCCGTGGAGTCCCCCGTATAGGAGGCGTGACGATGTCCCACGTCCTTCCTGACAAGGTCTCTTCAGGAATCCACTGGACACATGAAGAATAGCCGGCCACCCCCCAAGCGGGTGATCTGCGAAGCCTTGTGAGCGGGGCATGGCTTGCTTCTTCTTCTGAAGGTAGCGAAGAATGCCCAGGTAGGGCGAACCTCGCACAACGCCAACCAAAAAACTGGCAGTTGATTCTTGCCTTGCAGAGAGGTATCCAGTCTGAGCAACACGCGAGACACATGTGCATCGCACAGTGAAAACACGCCGGGGGGGCAAGCAAAAGCATCCGGCTGTGCGGCTCTACATCGTTCCAGTCAAGCAACAGTTGGGATCCTCCGAGTTGTAGTCGAACCAGCACCTCCGCTTGGTAGAATGCTTCGGAGCCACGGATAGAAGTGGCTCAGACTCGAGGCCTGTGGCGCAGCACCGCCTGGTGCATGTCGGCCACCACCGAAGGCTGCGACTCCAGCAGGCGTTCCAAGTGCTCGGCCAGCGCCGGGCCGACCTTCAGAAGTGGAAAAGAGAAGTCAGTGCCGTGTTTGCCTTCTTTTGGGCCTCGTCCATTGGCCACTTCAACGAAAACGACGACCTGGATCCAGTGAAAGGACCGAACACTTTTCTGCGGAGCTTCTCCTAGGACCTGTTTCCAGAGCCCTCAATCTTGAAGTGGGAGACTTCAGGCAGGGGGACTACAGCAACTGCAAGCCACTAGCACGCAATCCTGCCCGAATCGGAGCATCTGGAACGAAAGAGTCTGTGTCTCTGCCTGGCACTGCAAGCATGTTTCTGCTAAAATCGTGCAGCAAGGTACCAGTCAAGGAAGTCATCGAAAGGCAGGCCGATATCGTCGGAAAGGATGACCTCAGGATGCTAGATCGGAATTGTGCTCCCGAGCACAGAGTGCCTGGACTGTCTCGGGCACGGGAGCCTTGAAACCGCACACCCCCCTCACTTCCGTGTTCTCACATCTGAACCGTGAACACGTTTGGCCGCTTTTCTGAAAGGCTGCTCACGATTCCCACTCCCGCTATGGCGTGGTGCCTAGTTGTGCTCACGGCTCTTTTCAACACACTCCCGGTGCAGGCCACGCTAGAAAGCGCAACTCATGGAATTTCAACACTGGCCTCATTCTGGCGAATCTTGGCCTGTCTGGCCATCAATTACATGCGGGGAAGCATTTTGGTCGTGTCTCTGAATCCCGCAGCCCTCGCGTAGCATTTTGGTCGTGGCGCTAAAGCCCAGCAGACTACCGCATGCGGACCATTTTGGGATGGTGGTTTCATTAGGCGATGGAGTACTCTCAATAGTAATTCTGAGCCGCTCAGCCACTCGAAGCTCAAGGATAATCTCCACACAAGATCTCTGCGCTCGAATCTTATCAGCGAACGCTCGCATGTCTGCATGTCCCCAGAATATCTGACTGGGGCACGGACGGGTATGCAACCCGCAAACATGACCTCACAGAAGGCTAGGACACTGGGACGAATCCAACGTGCTGTGGTGTAAAGCACTCGAACGTTCCAGCTCGCATGCCGCTCTGGATAGAAAACACCTAAAAAGCATGCACTTAAGGTTCGACATGGCTATAGCTCTTACCACTTGCTACTTAGTTGTTACTTTCAACTGCGCAAATGCCCGAACGAGCCTCGTACAGGCGATTGCTCCAAAAGCCCAAGCCTTTCGGCGCAAAGCAGAAGTGGCAATCGCCGATGCGAGCGAAGTACTCCTTAGCCAGGGGCTGCGCGCATGAACTGGGCAACTGGGCGTCAGGCATGTACTCTCAGAAGAAGCTTCATCGGCAGCGCTCCGGGAATGCTGCCATATCGGCCGAGCAAGGCACTACTGAAGCTCGGGCAGAACATGTTTATAGACTGTAAGACAGCAAGCCAGTAAGCGACCGTTAAAGTCAAGATCTTAGTGGAGCTCACACCAAGCGAGATGGCATTGCATCAGGCCGGGAAATGTTTTTCAGGTATGTGTCTGGGGTCTGCTGGCTCGGGTGTATGACCCAGCAACTGCGGCCATGCCACGATAATCCGAACAAACCTGTAGCCGATGCTGAAGCCTGGCCGACCACGGAGTGTTTGGAGATCGTTCCGCACCTGGGGCGGTGTACACGAGCCTGAGCGTTTCAGCCTGTGCTGGGAACCATACCCTGCCTTCTGCCACTGGGACCAAGAAGTCGCAACTGGAAAATGGTGCACGCACGCGCACACACACACACACACACTGTGGGCGGTATAAACATAAACATAAACAAGTAAAAGAGAAAACTGTGGGTTTCAAGCTGGCTGGTACCTTCGTTGGAGTGTAAATGCGTGACCAGTGCAGTCTAAATGCTGTAGTGTTCGCATACTTGTAGATGGCCAAGGCATCAGAGTCAGCACCGTGGTAGCATGCCGTATAGGACCGCTGTTCATGGGGCTTTTCAACAGCATGCAGCTTGTCGATGCTCCACTTCTCCACGAAGCCCGGAATGACATAATCTTTCCAAGGCGTGAAGCCTCAACAGGAATAGGCTCCTGCTGGTAAGACCACGAAATGACCCTGAATCAAACAGCAAGTGCCCCACCAGAAAAGCCGAGAAGCACCAGTAGCAGTGCTTGCAGTGAGCACCAAAGTTGTCGGCCGTCTCTTCTGAAAAGAAATCGAAATCCGTGCACTCAATTGGCCTGCAGCATGTGCCGTCATCTTGGCGTGTTATTGCTCAGAGGAGCTCCGTGTTTTCTCCTTCCAGGATTCGCGCCTAGCTTCCACGGACAGGAAGAGCGAGTCTGGGATGAAGTCCTGCCACCTTTCATGCGGGGCAAGGGCCTCTTTGCGCGAAGCGGCTGCAAAAAATCAGCCGGAACACAGAGGGTCCCGAAACATCTTGACAACAGCTTGGCGGCGAGGGGAAATCGTAGGTCTCCGAAGACCACAGGAATATGTGGTCAATTCCGCCTTGGTCCTGGAGGCACTCATGCAACAAAGCAAGTGCAAGCGCATGGGTCCCAAAAGACAGGACATGACACAGCGACTCGTTGCCCTACGCCCGTTCACAATTCCCCAAGATGAAGCTCCCGATGCCCACACCCACAGGTTCGTGGCTGTCCTCGAAGTACCGAAGCTCTTCCTTCACCAAGCGGCTGTAGAAAGCGTCCATGTCCTGAGTGTTTCGTTCCATCCCCAGGCCCAGAAGGCTACATTCATCTCTGCATCACCGGATACAACTGCTGCATTCTGCTGCATGCTCCAAGTCTCGTCGGCTGTATTTCTGTCTTTTGTCATGACACATGCAGCATAGACAGGCACGAAGAAGAAGTCGGCTTCGGCCGGGTTCTCCGTTCGACATGTGCTATGTAACAAAAACTTGTGGACCTCAGTAGGCAGCAGGTAACCGCAAGCACCTCTCTTCTTTCCACCCATACGATTCCCAAAGAGGTACTGCCCAAGAAAAGCATTCGAAATAAGTACGAGGTGCGAAAACCTCGCTGGCAAACATACCCTGGCTGCAATCCACCGGCCGAGCAGAGAACTCCGTCTCATAGACATAAACTTTGATGCCCGAGTCGTAACATCCCTGCGGCTTGAGGCCGAGAAGCAGTGGATAACTGTCCTCCGTAGGACCAGCAGCAAACAGGAAGACAAGAAATGGCGACATTCTACCTGTGCTTAAGACGCTTGTGCAAGGCCAAGCATCTGATTGATGTGTCTGCAGATTCCATGCAAAACCAGATGCATTCCAGAGGTGACCATATCTTTGCCTCAAACCCTCGTAGAGCAAGAAATACTCTTTGGCCTTCCTCAGACAGCAGAGTGTCTGCACAAGCTACCGCTTCAACCCACGATTTGTCAGCAGGCCAGAGCGCAAAGAGCAGCCAATTGGGCCAACATGGAACTAGAATGGCATGACGAAAAAAAGCTCTGGCCACGGGCTGCTTCACAGTAACGCACATCAAAGCATGTAGATCAGGAAGGACTATGAAGACGGGCGAAGCGTCGCAGTACCAAAGCGGATTTCCGCTTGAGGCAAGGCATTCAGAATTAGAACCGCCACTCCCAGCGCGCAATCCTTAACTCAGCACTGCAGCGCTTTCATGTCTGCAGGCACGACACACGAAATCTGCGCAGCACCCGGATTCAAACTCCGAAACAAAAGCCAAAAGCTGGCCGAAAGCCAAGAGGCTTCGATAGCTCCTGGAAGAGCTCCGGAGCGCTCCAGGCCGAAGAGGGCGTTGGAAAGCCTCTGCTAAACTGGAGCTGAGCTGAGAAGCGGTAAAGGCAGAACACAGCGACCTCGTGCAGAGACAGAAATAAAAGGCGGAGAGACAGAGAGCTACGAGTAGGGTGGGTTCTGTTCTGTGCTCTGCACAACACCAAAATGCTTAGCATCTGGATAACAATCTCATAGGAACAAGCCCGATCAATAAATGAGGGGCCAAAAGTATCCGATCCCATGCCACACCATACCAGACCGCACCACAGACACACTGGCACGATGCACCAGTGCAAATGTGCCCATATTCATTGATTTCACACACAATCAGCCTTACCTTTCTGTGCGTGCACAGTGTCTTGAGCAAGTATCCAATTATCATGGTCAATATAGACATCTTTCCTGAATCCGCAAAAACATCTGAACATGTAATAGGTTTCCTTGCATATGCGGACAGACACTCATCTACCGGTATACAGCAATTGATGACATACAGCATGCGAACAAACATGTACTTGTACATGTTAGAGCCAGCAAGCATACATGCGCATACACATTCGCATACGCATTCGTACGCATTATGTATGTGCACATATTTGTGTGCGTGCGTGTGCGCGTGTGTGCATGTGTGTCCGTATGTGCGTGCATCTGTGGTTATCTGTGGTTATGTGTGCGTGTATGTATGCATCTGTACATGTATTGGCCCGGGCACGTGTATGTGTGCGTGTATGCACATACATACGTACATACATACATACATACTGTAATCATACATTTTTGTCACTCGTGCTCGACAAGTCAGACGAGGTTTTTGACAGGCTAAGAAAACATACGCTAGTGACCAGCCTGCCCTCATTGGGACAGACCAAATGTGGCATTAACAAGACTCAGCGATTCATCAGCATGTCATGACAGCTACTTCAGGTAGGCCGGAAGTACACGGCACATCTCACGATCAAACCACAGTCTAGCATTCAGCTCCGCGGCAGCAGGTAGTTTACTGTAATCATACATACATACATACATACATCAATTAGCACATACACACTTTGTATGTGTGTATCTATGCATCTTCCAGGCACTCGTTTAACTGTATGTATGTATGGGTCGGAGCACGACTACAGGTGTGAGTGTGTGTGTGTGTTGCAGGAGGTTCAGAGCGACTCCTGGAGGATCCTTGCGCAGCACGTCTCGAGGACCGTCGTGCACCAAGGATGCTTCGACGAAAAACTTACGCAGCGTGCTGCCAGCGCCATGCACTCCAGTGCAGAGGTCTGGGAGTTAGTGACCGACTTTGTTGAACCTTTGGAGGTGTTGCTGCGACGCTGGCAAGACGTATGTGACAACTGTAGTGCAGTTGCATCCTCGGCTGAGGACGTCCTTCTCATGTTGGATCCCCGCCTCTGCTGCGAGACATTCAGCCCCACCAAGCCTTCCGAGCCTGTTGCTGAGTGCTGTGTCGATTTGCCAGGGCCTTTTGTCTGCCCATTTCCTGTCCTCTCTGGAGGTTGGTCCACCTTCCGCATTGATTCCCCTTCTTGTCCATCCTTTTGCTATCCCTATGTCGAAGGAGCACCGTTTGCTGTGCGGCTTGTGACATTCTTGGCGCTGTTGTACAGCAGGCAGCGATTTCCAGAGTCAAGATTGTCGCTGCTGGGAATACCCTAGCGTCCGTTGAGCCAGCTGCTACGTGGCTTCTCTCGGTAGGATTTATCGAGGATGCTGAGGGTACGTGCAGCTCTGCGGATTGAATTCGTTTTCTTCCTCTAGGCACGACCTACGGTCTCTAAGCCTGCGGAAAAGATGTATGGGTCGGTAGGCAGGCACGCAGGCAGGTGGCTACTTAGGCAACAGGCGGGTCGGTAGCTCGCTAGCTTAGCTAGCTAAGTACATAGGTAGGTAGGAGGTAGGTAGGTTTGCATGATGATGTGAGTGTGTGTGTGTGTGCCCGTATATTTATGAGTGCGGAGTATGTGCGAATGAGTGTATATTTGATTGTATGTATGTATGTGAATGTGGATGTGCGGGTATGGATGTGGACGTGGGTGTAGGTGAATGTGCATGTGTCTGTGTATGTGCATGCATATGCACATGCGTATGTGTATGTGCAAGTGTGTGCGTATGTGCACATGCACATGCACGTGCATGTGTAGGTGTATGTATATGTATATGTTTATGTATGTATGTAGGGAGGCAGGTATGTATGTACGTAATTGTACGTATGTAGGTACTTGTTATTTTGTGCGGGTACGCCGGTCTGCGCAGTGCTTGGCTCGAATCAGCCAGGATTCTCAAGCCCATACTCGCGGGGCACGTGCGTCTGCTGCAAGGCCTTCGGCTGACTTCGGGTGAAGGTGCTGAATCATGCTGGATCAGCCTGTTCTTTCTAGTTCCACGGAAATAGCTAGTTCCGGCAGTATTCCCGTACAGCTGCAATGCATGCCGCATCGGACACTGTCTTACTCGACAGCAGGGGGGATGACCCGCTAACCTGCAGACTTGAAAGTGCCCAGGAGGTCAAAGTTGAGCCTTGTCAACTTCACGCGCGACAGTCCAGACATCCTGGCCAACGAGCTCGGTTCCGCGGCCTGCACAAAGGCAAGATGTGAATAGTGCTTGACGGCTTGTGGAAGCGCCTTTATGCACAAACAGAAAGACCCAAGGCGATCGGCCAAGCTGCAGTCAGTCTGCGCTCTGCTGAGCCCGACAAGGGCACCGAGTCGTATCCAGCCTGCAGCACACTTCATCCTGTTACACGCACACGCTCTGCCCATCCAACCTTTCTCGGACAGAGTTCCCTTTGGCTCCAAGTCGCCGTATCGCTGCCGTCGCTGCCCCATGGCCGGGGTGGATGGTTCGCCGAACGAACATGATTGCCCTACAGTGGCCCAAGGGAGGCCGCGACATGCAATATTAACTGAAGAACATATGATGGGATGGTGCAGACAGGGTGTGGACGAGTGATGACGAGTGGGCCACCTGGTCCGTGAAGTCACATGCCGTCTCACTAAGCCCCGAGATGACGAAGTCTGGTGACAGCTCAACTGGATCTCTTGACAGGGCAAGGCCTTGCTACAAAACCTTGGAATCCTTGTCCATTGAATGCACCATGCGAAAAGGGCTGAGGCTCTGCGGGCTCTTCTGCTTTCTCATGGCTCGCCAAGTCGACGGCATCTACGTTCCTGGCTTACGACCTAGGGAACTAGGGCACATGGAACTCAGGTCTCGGAGTAGTAGTTCGGGATGTCCACATGCTTGCCCACAAGCTGCTTCTTCGCTTCCGCTAGGGCCGATTTGGCAGCTTCCTTGCACAGATTCGCAGCTATGCAATATACTAATATACTCTTGCCATTCTGCAACATTCCATCCAAGAAGCTGTGATGGATGGAAACCACCAGTGCTCTTCCAGGTACATCCGGTCCACCATGCCTACATCACCTTAGCAGTTTGTTTTCGCAAAGCCCCTTCCAACTGGATGTTCATCCGGTCCACCATGCCTACATCACCTTAGCAGTTTGTTTTCGCAAAGCCCCTTCCAACATTGTGTGCCAATGCTGCACGGTACTGAACTGTGCCAGGCAGGGAATGAGGTTGTACTCGGCTCCTTCAATATCGACCTTCAGCATCACCCAGTCATCCGGCCGCACGTTCTCGGCGATCCTTGCAACAATCTCGCAGTATCGTCTGGAGAGTGAAGGCAGTTACCGCAAGCCGAAAGGCAGCTGTACGATGTTGGACATTGGGACGGTAACCTTGACCTTGCCACTCTTAACGGCATCTGGGGCCTTGGTTGCTCAACCAAAGCATCTTGGCAGCAAGCTGAACCCTACGCGCGTCCAATCTGGCACGAAGCAACATGCCTCCCAGATACATCCGACATCATGCTGGATCCCCAGTGGTTGTGAGTGGCATCCTTGTCGATGAAGAAGCTGGTTGTGCCCTGGAAATGGTGCAGAGTGACAGCGTTCGCTAGCTCGACATTCAATCAGGATGGCTGAGAAGTGGTAACGAGGTAGCCGCTTCAACTCTTGAGCTTGGGTATCCTGAGGGTGTGTATACCCGCACGCAGGACAGCCACGAGGGCAAGGAGGTCATTATCCAGCATAAGATTCAGAACACGACGCGCACCCAGACCGGTGACCCTGCAGGCCACATCCCATCAAACCGACCGCAGCCTCACAAGAGAAGGCGGCATGCTCGGCAAGAGAGTGAACCTGTCCGGAGGTCCGACAAGCTCAGCAGACACACACACACACACACACACACAGAAAGACGTCATCTATACTCCTTCCTAGTACATCTGCTACCATCCTCAGCCGGACTCCACCTAGCCTCGATATTGCCATGATGCTTCACGATTGATCCGACTGGACAATGGTCATCATTCTCAGCAAGTGAGCTCAAAGAGCTCTTCAGAAGCCCCAGGCCTGGCCAGGGAAATTCTCCTCCAGCGAGGAGAGCTCCTTCGTAAACTGGGGATTCGCCTGCATCAGATCAAAGACACGGCCGCAAACGCGCTGAGGTTGTAGTGATCGGTCCAGCAACCCGGTACCCACGTCCAGGCTTTCCCAGTAGTTTGGGATGGCGGAGGGTGTCGGGAACACTGGCCAGGAAAGACTTGGGAGCTATGCCGTAGTAACTATGCCGGCACGATGCGCTGCGTCACCACGCTACAGGCCGGAATGCTCGCACTTGAAGGGAAGTTGCTGATGAGATATCAAGGTACAGAATGCAGCTTGTGTCTACCAGTGCAGAAACCCGAATCTGAACACTGCGGCGAAAAAGGCCGTAGCCGGGACAGGACCACGACTAAAGGGGAGAATTCTAGGGATTCTAGGGCACCGGCCTCCAACAGAAATGCCTCCCACTTGCCGGATGGGCAGTCCTTCAATGGTCCATAGTCGTTCCTTGGACAGACACATGCGCCAAACATGCCCCTTGGCGACAATGGAGCCGAGAGGAAGTGCCCCAGCTTTCAGCTCATCTTCCATCCCCAACCCACTCAGCAAGCAAGGTTCTTGAATGTTCTTGGTTGCATGCTCTAACTTGCCTGCTTTATCTGATGAATCATAGGCCCTCTTTCTGCCCTTTGTGGCGAGGCTCTCGAGGAACTTCGCGAAGGTGTTGCCATCTGCGGCTCCGAGATCGATGAAGATGCACTTCGGCTCGGTGCGTGCCGTCTTCTTCCAGTTTGGATTGTTGGCTACCTGAGCGTTGAAGGTGTTCGCACTTGGGGGCCTGGGAAGTCAACTCGCAGCGGGCGAGCATGCTTCAAAGCACGTGCAAGGCACACATTGGCACTGCGGCTCTTCCTGGTAGAAGGACAGGCTGGAAACCGCATGGACACTGGACTGCGACACCTGAAGCCGTGCTTGCTCCCATGAAACTTCACAGGCAGACTGCCGACATGTGACCTACCAACACACACTGGTTTGGTCAGTCGCACATTGCTGCGAAGGTAGACAGCAGAGGCGGCGCCAATGAGAAAAGGTGCGAGGCGAAACATCTTCAACAGATCGGCCTGACCTGTTCACTTCGTTCGAGCTACTGCAGACCTCTTGGAAGATGGCCTTGAACCAAAATACAGGTAGCAACCCACCGGGGCGTAGTTCAGAACATGATCCGTGTCGCATTCGTCGATTTGGGCTAAATTCGGGTCCCATGTGTCTCGGCTGCAGTGCAGCAAGTGTTGAAATGAAAAATAGGTTTACAGCCCTGCTTCGCAGCATGCGTT